GCTGCCAGCATATGGCTCTCTTGTGTAACAGTGCTGACAAAGAATGATCCAATCAGTCCAGCTCTCAAATGAAGTGTAACCTCCTCTGTACTGGCTTTTCATTAACTCATAGCAGATTTGCCTCTGTACTTTCCCTTTCTTGTCTTTAATGTGACTAAAAGTGAAACCACCACACAGCCGTACGTTGGAATCCCCCTTTGTATCTTCCTGCCCCCCTTCCCTCCTCTTTCCTTCCTCCACAGTATGCTGCCTGCTCTATATGTGGCACTGGAGCTGCTTTAGGAATCCAGTCCAAATGTTTTCCATATTAGTTCAGAGCCTTCTCTGTTTCCAAATAGCAGCCGAGCTGGGCTTATGGTGAGAGGAGGCTCAGGCAGGGAGGGGAAGGGAAGAGGAGAGAGGCAGACGGCAGACAGGCTCACCCACCCCAAATACTGCAACAGTAAAAGTTGAGAGTACAGAGAGGGAAACAAGTGTAAAGAAAGTAGGCAAAATGGGGCAGGGGCAGAAAGGTTCCTCAGATAAGGAGAAGGGCAAGAAGCAGAAGAGAGATGAAAGCCCAGCACCAGAGGACGGCCGCAAATGCAGAGTCTGTCGCTTCCCTCTTCTCGTCGCCCTGCTTCAGCTGCTGTTGGGGGTGGCCGTCACAGCCGTGGCCTTTCTTATGTTGGCCATCAGCCCCTCACTCCTGGCCAGGGAGACGCCACACTGGGCTGGGATCATTGTAAGCTCCATCCTTTCGCTCTAACATCAGCCACTACATTGAAATATTTGCATGGACCCAGTGTCCCATTTCTGAATCTTCTGCATGACCCTCAGCTATTTCCCTCAATGTGTTGTTCATCTTCACCATACTGCATGTCAACACTGGCCCTTACCCACTTGTCTCAGCCAGAGAGTCACTGTAGGCATGGGAAATCACTGGTATTGTCATGTTCTAATAAATCTCCATCTGTCATATTCATCTGAATACAGACACCTGAATATCCAATCTGTCTCAGTCATACATGCATGCTTGCACCTTCTGTTGTTTTTGTTGAATGTCCAACAAATCCTCAACATCTGGCCTGATGAGTCAAGCCAGCCAATCACAGCATGCCATATTCCAACTTGACTTTTGAGGACCTAAGCATCTAAATACCTTGTTATTAATTGCAAATGTGATGTGCATACTCTATTTATGCACATACTGCATTGTTTGCTTACACCTCATCATCCTTACCATATGCCTTATTCATACACAAAAACACACCACACATTTACTTTACTTCAGACTAAAGTTTTACTTTGACTGTACATAGCCTACAGTTAAAGAAAAGCTGTTCATTTTAATTATGTTTGTATGTAATCATTTGTGTTGGTTGAAACCGAGGTACTGAAGTAGTGTGAAGAGTCAGTTGAAGCGTTAGAGCTGAAATCAGTTGAAATCAGTAAAAATGTAACCTCTAAAAGCCTGCGTCATTTCAGTGTAAGCCCTGTAGGAGTTATCAGTCTATATGTAAGCAATGAGAGTAGTTAAATTAACAGCTGACGAGAAAACAAAAACAAGAAAGCTCAAAGCAACTGAAGTGTAATAGAGAAAGGAGGCTGAAATGTCAGTCGAGGTCTTAGCCACGAAAGTAACTGAAATGTCAGTTGTTGTGTAAGCACTGAAAGCACTTAAAACATCAGTTAAAGTGTAATTTTAAGAGTAAGATATAATAATAATAATAGCTTTATTTGTATAGCACTATATGTAACAAAGTGATTTTCAACAATTACTATCAAACATAAAAAAGTCAAATAAAACCTTGCACCATACAGTGGTTTACAACAAACAAGTCAATATACAAATAAAGGAAAACAACATATGCATCACACAGTAAAGGCTTTTTTGTACAAAATGTGTCTTAAGAAGCGAGATAAAACCAGGAATGGATAGATTGTTCCAGAGCGCAGGGGCCCTGATAGAGATAAACATTTAAGTTGACCTTTAAACGGTGGAAACATGTGCCATGCTAAAAGCAACTGAAGTGTCAGTTAAAGTGTAAGCAAAAAAAAAGCACTTAAAATTTCAGTTAACATGTAAGTTAATGGGCGTGTTAAATGGTTCTTTGCAGTTTTTCATTGCAAGTGAACAATTTAATCTACCCTACCCTAGCATATCACAGACGCCATCTGCTCTCGAAAACAACCCTGTACACCAACATCCCGAGTTAGATCCTCACGAGATTCAGCCAAGTGAAAAACACTGAGGTCATCAAGAACTTTCCAGAGGATCCTGAGTGCTTAAAAACATGGGGAAAACATTTAAATAAGATGCCGCACGTTAGTCACAAGACTCCAATTGCACTGAAGAAAGTGTGAGCGTGTCTGTGTGTGCGAGAGAGGGAGAGATAATGTAATCAGATGACAGCCTACTGCTGAATCATGCAATATTAAGAGACACCACTGAAAACCTGGGCACATATTCTTGATTCTATACTGTATCTAACAGCAAACATTCAGACTGTACCTCATGTAATAGCAACAAGGTACAAATGTAATAACACAAATACATAGATTGGCCGCATTCTTTTTGACATTGAAAGGCTACAGAACGGGTGTTCTGTTGTGAAACTAACCAAACTATGTCAATTATTTTCTGATGTACTGTTTCAGCTGTGTTTAGTTTCCATCCTGGGCTTTATCCTGTACTGTATCACCTACCTCCCTGATGAGAGAACGTCTATGCAGTTCATTGGCAAGGTGAGTCTACACACATGCTGACACACTGCAGAAGTGAAAGCGCACAAATCACTTTGTGAGTGACAGTCTATTAGGTCATGCATGGTCAGGTTCCTCACTGATGCACAACATGTCTCTTTGACACTGATTGAATCTAAGGTATATAGTAGAATAATAGATGCAGTAATCGTTAGATGGTTGTTCTCAGGAAACTCTTACTCTAGATGCCATAGAAAGAAAGGCATGTAACTGCATTCCTGTTTAAAAGAGCTCTGCTGGGATTCCAATGAGTGGATGAGTGCATTCATTAATGTGACTAGATTTTACAGCTTGATAAGCTGTACAATATATGCAGTTGGAATTTCAAGGCAATTAAAATCAGCCCACCATTGTTTTCTACTGAGAAGTAGGTCCTCGGACACAGCATCCTCTTTTAGTGCGTTTGTCTCGTGTGTGCAATTATGTACGCTGTGAACAGAGTAGTTCAAAACACTTTGTATTTTGCCTCAAGAAGCTAATTTGCAAAATGGTCTTTGAAGAAAGGAGTTATAAAAGCCAAATCCAAGTGT